TTTTTTCAAATTTAATGATAATCATGTTTCTTCAGACTTCGTGGTAAGTTATAAAATTCCTAAATTAAAAATTAAATCTATAAAGCATTAAAAGGAAAATGATAGTCTGTTTCTTCCTTGGCATCTGTGTGTGACTTGTTTCAAGACCCGTTATAGATACCAGCTTGACTGATGCACAGTCCTTTGTATAAAATGACATAACGTCTCTAGGGGGACCTACATGCATTCTTGTATACACCTCAAACTGTCTTTAGACACTGCCCCTTATGCTATGGAAATAGCTTCATTTTAAGGGAACAGTGACAAGAAGAAAACACGCACCTACAATGTACACGTGAATGTTTGCTTAGAAACTTTAGCAGTGATTTAAGTCATTGATACAGAACCTCTAGGTACAGAGGGCTAGAGATGACTCTACCTGTCAGAGTCCACTGTTGTGCCTTGCTCTTTTTTTTGAGAGTGGAGGGATGTGGCTGTCACTCTCCACCGATGTGGCCTTCATTCTTTTCTGCCTATTCTGTTAGAGGGAAATGTCAGTGCACGGTCATCCACACTCCTCAGCCATGTCCAATGTCAGCGCACCTCGGAAGGCAAATATTACTCGGTGTCCTTCTGAGACAGCTAGAGCTGAGCACAGGCAGGTGGTGGCAGCATTGGCCAGCTGCTGCTGCAGCACTGTGCCTGCTCAGGCAGGAGGCAAAGCAGGAGGACTCAGCTTTCTCAAGCTGTCAGCCTGCTGCTCCTAATGAGGAAAGGGCAGGACGGAAAGCTGGGAATGTTTTGGTTCAATCAGTATAACTTTCGTTACTGGTGGGGGGAAACAATTGGATGGAGGCTAGTGGACTGGCACTGATAATTTGAGGGGACATTAAAGCCTGATGAAACAGATAACCTATTTGAGAGCCTGTAGTCTGAAATCTGGAGTCGTGGGAAGTTTAAGCTTCTCTGATAACAACCTGGGAGGTAGAGCTCTCCACACCCCGACAACTTTGGGGCCTGCAGATCCTCTACGTACTTCTGTTTTGCTTTCATAAGGACAAGCGCGTAGGATGTTACCCATGATGCCTCGTTTCTCCTGCTATGGTGACATGTTTGTGTCCGTCTCTTTTTGATGGCCTCTTTCGGTTGCAGGAAAGTTTGGCTGCTGGTATTATTTATGGTGTCTAAAAGACAAGAGTCCTTGGTGTGAAGACAGGCAAGGGTGAGGCTGAGTTTCAGGTTTAAGGCTGATCTTTCTTCAAGCATAGCAGTGGGAAGATGGCACATTGCTTTTTAGGAGATGACCTTCACTGGTGAAGTAAGGGGATGGGGAGAAAAATACAGTGGGGTGCTGCAGCTAATGGTAGTTTGTGTTTCTTACTTGTCAGGCATGTGCAAAGCAAGGTCTGTACATTTAGTAGAGAAAATGACACTGACAAGCAGGCACCGCTACTCTTCACTTTACAGAAGAGGAAGGGATATAGTTAGTGAATGATTCACTCACTTGGTACCCATGGGAGCTTGGTTCCAATGCCAGTGTCTCCTTCTGGGTCCTGTGCCTTCTGCCCCACTACAGTGCTGCCTTTTGGGCAGCTGGATGTTGAGTAGCGATGACTCTTTGGGACTGCTCCAAGAGAAGACACTAATCCAACTCAGTCAAAGCACCATCTGTGAAACAGTGGGTGCCCATGAGAAAAATCAAAGCAATGGAAGTGTTTTAAAAGTCATATGATGCCATTTCATTGTCAATAACAATGAAATACAAGATGGTCTGCTCAGAGTCAGGGGAAACTGTTGGATCAGTGAACTAAGGAGATTGAAATGCACGCATGCACACGTACACACATATGCATGCACAGACACAAACAGGTACATCCACATACATAGTACACAAATTCAAATCCAGTTTGTATGTAAAGACATCTTTGTGTGAAAGTCTAAGAAATATACTTTGTCCTTGAAGATGAGTGCATGAAATCCTCAAAGTCCCAAGGCTCTGTGTGGAGCTGAGTGCAGACAAAACTCATCCCTTGAGAACCTCTTTTAGAAAGCAAGACAGCAGCTAAGCATAGGAAGGTTTGATTGGCAGCTGCCATATTCATCACAGGAAGTCACAGGACTCCTTTCTTGGCAGCTAATCCTCTTGCTTTTTCATCCCTTTTGGTGTGAGCCTTCAAGTGATTTAGAGTTTTTCTTTGTAGGCTCATGTTCAGAGGCGGTTGTTTGATTTTTCACTTTCTATCTCTGTTTCATTTCCTTGCAGAGTATTTTAAGACTTATCAGACTGGAACTGTGTCTGCTGTAGGTAGTGAAAGCTTCCATGCTAGAAAGACATCCCTGGGTTAGTGGGAGATTGGCCTAGTTACCAGACAGAGGCTTTCTCAGGTTCTTCCAGACATACAAAGTTACAGTCCCAGGGCCATGGCCTCAAGGCAGTGGTCATCTGTACTCTGTCTGTCCCAACCATCTTTCCCTCTGCCTAGAGAGCACTGGTGACAGTACAGCCTCTTACCAGCAGGGGGATGTTTTCATCCCTCACTATTAGACAGCAAACTGGATTCCTCTATGGCTCCAAGCCCTTTAACAACCTTCGTTTTGTTGATGGGCAAGATATCTTTCTCACCTCTTTGCTCTGCTAATGCTGTGTTTACAGTAAGATCAGATGTTGTAAGGATGAACTAATATAACTATCTTCCCAAGGAAAGAGAGATACAGGCAAACTAAAATAAGAACAGTCACTTAAATATGGAAAAAAAAAGAAAGAGGACGAGTGACCTCCTCTCAGAGAAGTTTGTGGGGAAAGCATCCATTATTCATCCCTGGATGGGTTGTTGAATTAGATTCTGAGTCTACTGCATGTCTGCAGATCTGGTCTGGTTTCTCTCAGTACTGTGTGCATCTGCATTTAGCATTCTGGATACTTGTGACCTTTCTATGACCTCCCACATGCTTCCTACAGTTTCCCAGTAGTTTCAGCTTTCTCCATGCTTAGCTGTGTTTTCATTAGCACTGGAACGGTGTGTGGCACAGCCATGGGAAGTGACTTAGCACCTGGCTCACTTGACAGGTACTGTATAAGCAAGAAGAGCTAAAGAAATCCAGGTCGGAATCCAAGGATGGTCCAGGAATGGCTTTTAGCACTTAGAAAGATCTGTGTTTGAAGTGGATCCCATGGAGTGAATTTTGGAGCTTTCTCTACATCCAGAGATGTCAAAAAACACATATTTTTGCCTCTAAGATAGACAGGCCATTTCCAGTACTAGGTTTGGTATTATCGATTTAGTTAGTAGTTTTGTGGTACTAGGAATGAAACCTAGCTATGTCTTGGGGCATATCAGCAGGAGATTTCCCATTGAGCTACATCCCATTCACCTCTTTAATTTTTTTTGTCCCGAGATAGGGTTTTACAAATTGCCTAGGTTAGCCTCACTCACTATCCTCCTTCCTCAGCCTCCTGAGAAGTTTGGAACAGTAGGCCTGTGTTGGCAGGCCTTGCTATGCCCACCTCTTTATACAGACTTATTCCTCTGCGGCACTGAAAAGGCTGGCTTCACTAGCTGGTGTTAGTATTACCTCATTATGAGCGGCAGTTCATGTATAAATGATGCGACGCTAATGCCACTCAATCGTTCAACTGTCTTACAAAGTGGAAACTAAAATTAAGCTGTCTTATGGCGTCTTTTTATGTTGACATACCGTAGTGGCTTCACTCTGACATTTTTGAAGTTTAATAATGTGATGTTGCTCGGGGATAGCATGGAGATTGCAATCGGCATAACCGTCTTCTGTTAGCCTGAACTCTGAGGGCAGCCATTTTGTTTTACCCAGCATAACCTGGCTCATTAATCTCATTATTTTAGTGGCTGTGCTCTGTTGTGCACATAGTTGGTAGTGCTCATTAAGTGCACTGCTAGTATGTTATTTAAAAAAAAAACACGACACACATACAAGTATAGAATAAAACATGTCACTGTTTTGCTGAGCTCTTGAATGGAACGTTAAGATGATAAAGTTCACCTATCAGAGAAGAATAGACCAAGAATCATGTTGCTTATAGCAGGAATTTTTTTCTTTTTTTTTGCCTAAATTCAAGGCAAAATGGATTGATAAGCAACAGGAACTTAAAAGCTATCACCTTTAACATAATCTCTTCTTGGCATTTGTCATTTTTACTTCCATTATGTAAGCCATAGTTGAAAATTATTAGGGAGACCTATGGAATGTGGGTCCGTGTGACATCATAAAGACTTGTGAGTTTCTTTTTGCTACACACAGCTTAGGAGCTGTTTGTTTAAATTGTAATATGGCTATATTCAAAGCATCTTTTCTTCTAGGACAAAGATTAAGCAGGGCATCTGATTCTAGTGTGAAAGGATATGCTTTCTGTCTAGATTTATGTTAGACATTAGGTCAGGCATAGTTATGTCTTCATAGTGAATCGTTAAAGAGATTTTAGGGACAATTAGGGAAACACTATGAATTTCCAAAATGATGCTGTGGAGGGTGACCATGTAATGAGTGCCTGTATTGGTCATAGACCAGGTTACAGCCTTTGTATGCATTGCAATTTAAGCTGCATACAGCCCTGTGAAGTGGGTCTCATTATCTCATTATGAAAATCAGATAAATTAATCTCCATAAAGTTACGCAGTTTAATCAAGCTTCTGCAGTCTGTACGAGCTGCAGTGGAATTTAGTCTGAATCTGAGTTTTGTATTCTCTTTGATGCTCTATTATATTGCACCATCCAAATGACCTTCAATTCTTCTAAATTTTAAAGTGTATTTCTAGCTAAACATACAGATGTATGAGCCCCAATTTGCTTATATAATAAACCATACATAAGTGGCCTTTTTCCTATTTAGGGGTTGACCATTTTGAAAGCACTTGAAGGCTTTCTGTTGTCTGACCACTGTATTAAATACATGTTTTAAGCATTCTGACCTTTCCGACCTCCTCAAGTTCCTTCCTGGTGACTTATTGTCTTTCTCTTCTCTCTTCTGGCCCCCAATTTGTCTGTAGGTGGGCTGGATCCTCTCCATCCTGGACGAGCTGCAGCTGAGCCCACAGCCTCCTGTGGGGGTGCTTCCACTGGGGACTGGGAATGACCTGGCTCGGACGCTCAACTGGGGCGGGGTAAGAACTAGAGGTAGCTGCTCCTAACATGGAGGAACAGACCAGACCTGCAGATTAACTCTGTGCTCTCTCCTAGAGCTGTAAGCTGCTGCTGTCAGAGGGACACGTTAGAAGTGGGACTCAGATTCCCTGTTTCTTTGTCATTTCTTTACCTCAGACTTAGAATCCTCCAGGGAGGAGGGGGTTGAGTGTGAGGGAAACACATGGTTAGTACACAGATAGTGTGAGTGTTGAAGTATCCACCAGAGGACTGCCAACGGGTCAGCCTCAAGTGGTCATGTGAAACAATCCTTCGAGTCTGCGTTCATCCTGACCCTTAGCCCTGACCATAATGGCAAATTTGCTTTAGATTTAAGACCTATCCTTTGAGACAGTCACGACTTCTTTTGAACGTGGAGGTTTTCTGACGATCCTTATTGTAGCTTCAATGAGACTGGTATCTTGATTGTCTCTCCCATTGGGTACCATTCTCTGGAAGGTATGAGGGAAGCTGCTGCTAATTGGCCCTTTCATGTATATATTTATCTTCTTGTACTAAACTAAAAGAAGTCACAAGACAGCAAGATGCCAGCCCAGGAGCTATTGGCATGAAAAGCTGCTGGGGTCAGCAATTTCTCTTCAGTGGTGTAGCCCCTGGTAAATAGCTCAAGCCACAGTTAATGACCCCACATTCACGCTCAACCAGGAAATTCCAGTTAAGCTCAGTGGACCATTAAAAAGAAGATGTGGGAGCTGGAGAGGGCTAGTTGGGAGGAGGAAGGGGTCAGAAGTCATGAAAATGGGTAGCAGGGTAATAGGGGTGGATATGATCAAAATACAGTATGTAGGTGTGTGAAATAGTGGGAGAATAAATTCAGATATTCTTAAAAAATAATAAATGTTCACTGCTAACTCCCCAAGCCCAGTATTAGGTTCTTGCTTGACATCTGTTTCGTATGACAAGGATCTTCATGTTGGCTTCATATGACAGATCCATAGCAGACACCAATTTGGCCCTTAGCCGAGTTAACCTATCAGGGTGTTTGATTTATTATTCTTGTTATATCTTGCCTTACCTTTTTTTCTTTTTAAGTGGCTGGTATAAAAATAAATCCAGTATTTGGCTGACTTCCATGCTTTAAAAAAGCAGCGGGACTATGACTGACCACACCTTGCCTTGTTATGGCACTTGCTGCAGGGCTTTCTGATCCAGACAGCAAGGGTCTGTGTTCTGTCCTTAGGGTTACACTGATGAGCCTGTTTCTAAGATCCTGTGCCAGGTGGAAGATGGGACCATTGTACAGTTGGATCGCTGGAACCTCCATGTGGAGAGAAACCCAGACTTGCCACCGGAAGAACTTGAAGATGGCGTGTGTAAGGTTAGACAGCTCTTCCTTTGGGGGCTGGAGAGGTGGCTCGGCTAAGAGTGCTCAATGATCCTGCAGAGGACAGGGGTTCAGTTCCCGGCACTCATGTTGGCTGCTTCACAGTTGTCTGGTACTCCAGCTTCAGGGGATCTGGCACCCTCTTCTGACCTCTGTAGACACTCGCATGTATGTGCACACACACGTATGCATACAAATAAAAAGAAATTTCTGTTGATAGTGCACCGGGACACATTCCAGGGTGCTACTCATGGGCCCCTGCCTTCTAGAAGATAGCTCATGGGGTAGCTCTGGGACTCTGGCTCCTAAGGCTAACCATGTTGTCACCAGCTCCCTCCCTGGCTCCTCCCCACAGACCCTTCAGGATTTAGATATTATACTTATTCCAGAACTATGGGACCTGTTCTCTATCTTCAGCCCCACACTGGGAAAGCATGTAAACATCTGTTAATCTCTTGAGCTAGATGCAGACAGCCTATGAGAAGATAGAGTTTGTATTTGTTTCTAAGCATTAGGCACACAGCCTTTCAGTAGGAGGAAAACCTTAGCAATTGCTGGCCTGACATCAAGTATCTCTTCTGTGTAGCTGGTATTATCTAACCCAGTTGCCTCATAGACTTGGGACTTGCCTAAATAAGTAGTCTGTCTTGGTGTTTTCTTTTGGTGACTGAGCTTTTAGGGTGAAAATTACTCAACCCAAGCCAAGGCCATTATTGTAAGTGCAGCTTCATTTCAGCATCTGAGCCTAATTTGTGACCCTGGTCTCTGAGTAACTTGGTTATGCCACTGAGTAGGCATCCCCTCCCCATCACTTCTTGTCTTTTTTCCATGATGCCATGCCCATAGTTCTGTAGGTTTAAGAATCCCTTGCTCTGCTTGTTAGAATAAACATTATGAGTCTCCAGAGATTCAGAGTAAGTTAATGTAGGGATAGGGACCCCACATCTGCCCTTTCAATAACACCCTTGCTGGTTTGGATCCATCCACTGAACACAAGTTCATTGTTCACCATAGTGCTGAGCAATTATGCTAGACACTCAAATGTCTTATTTGGCTTAAACATCTCTCTTCTTATTCAGTGTTTTTTTTTTCCACCTAACAATCCTGAAATTAATAAATCTATTAGACATCAGGATTGCTCACTTGAATTTGAGTTCACAGTTGAACATTGTTTAAACATATGGGAAACTTTTAACTGTTTTTTTTTTTTTTTGACTTATTGAGATTGAGTAGAACACCACCAAATTAGAAGGAGGGTGGCCATCTGCTGACATGGAAAATTTCAGGCCATTCTGCTAACTGTTGACTGGTGAGGCCTACAATTTCACTCCTTTCCCAAAAGCTTGAGAAATGGAAAGACTTCTTGATGCAGCCAGAGAATGTCAATCCAGATAATTAAGGGGCTTTGGGAATGGAGTTTGGGGATATGTAGAAAATTGGGACACATTTTCCTGGAAAAATGTGAATACCTTAAAAACAGTCTAAATTGGAATATTACTTAGGGAATTGTGTCCAGATGTTTTCTTTAGCTATCAGTGGCTGCTAAGACATGGGTTAGAATTGTAGCCAAAATAATATAAATGGTAGAATGTTTCTGTGTTTTTGGCACGAACACCATGCTATCTTTACAGGGGCTGGGGTTTCGTTTAAGTGCAGGGACTGGATATTCTCAAATACAAAGCCAAGAGAGTTAGACATGGTTTTGGCATTGGTATGTATCCTGAGTTTCTCTCTGCTCTGTAGCTTGTTGAAATTGCTTCTCAGGGCTGACACAGCCTCTGAACCATCAAGGCTCAAACTGAGGGGCTTCAATTGTGGAGGTCCTCCTTTCTTTCCACAAGAGACAGAAATTAAGGCAGTCTACCCCTGTCATCTGTTTTAATGGGACAATGTTCTCTCTTCAGCTTAGCAGGAAATCTTTCTAATCAGTAAGAAGTATATTACACACTCTAATAAATGAATTTTGAAATATTGAAGTTTTCAACATGCATTCTTAATAACAAAAGGGTACAATTCAGTTTGGGACATAAACTTGAGACTATCTGGGAACATTGCCTCTTTTTAACTTAGCATTTACCTTGCATTCTGAACCATGGGAAAAAAATGTAAGGTAATCAGGTTTGTTTTTTTCTTGAACTTTCTATGTGCTTTTCTGGTTGCTCTAGTATTGAACTGAAGCTTTTAGATGATGTCATGTTTGCAATTTCAATCTGTGCTCTCTGGCTTCACAGTAATTCTTCTTGCTAGTTCAGAATAAAAGTCAGGGACTCCGAGAATAGGAGAGCATTATAGCTTATATGTGCCCTGTACAGTTGTTACTGATGTCATATTAAAGGTACATGTTTAACCAGTTAAGTGGGAATCTGAATTCTACATTACACATTACACATTACACACACACACACACACACACACACACACACACACGCACGCACACATGCACGCACACACACTCACGTACACACACACACACACACACGTACGAAATATATAATATATTGTTGTTGTTTCCTTTTGGTATCAGCAGTGGCTGAATAAAATGGTTCTTACTGCTTTCTTTTTTATATAAGTTTTGTGAAAACAATAAAGACCTTTAAAAATCGAGTACATGTGAATTGCTATTTTAGGCTGCAGTATTTATGTACTGGATATAAAGCTCTTGAAAAAAATCACACATTGATTAAGGAAATTAGACTGGATCTAGAAATGGAATTTATTTTCTAAACTCACGTGGAATCAATCTCTTTATATCTGTTACAGATGAGCACCCCTTAGCTTTAACAACGTCATTGCACCGTGCACAAGAATGGCCCTTAGTTAGTAATTTGTAGCTGTGTTCCTTACTCCCTGTATGCTTTATGATTTGGGTTTGTAGGAACTTTTGATTTGAGCTTTCACTAATGAGTTAATTCAAGAGTCCCTGTATCTTATGTATAAACACTCTCTTCCGAGTGGCTCACCTGTGTCCCACAGGCTGCCTCAGAGATAGGGTGTTGGGTCTGGGTTGGCTGTTAACATTGTCAGATTTGTCCATCCTTGCAGCTTCCTCTGAATGTCTTCAATAATTACTTCAGCCTTGGATTTGATGCTCACGTCACTTTGGAGTTCCACGAATCCCGAGGTGAGGGCGTGCCCCATTTCCGTCTCCCTGGGAGGAAGTTTCTAGCAGTGTTCTCCATGCTCCATTTTGCTTGCACATTACCTGCATGTCTGCATTGTGCTTCCCTCTTGTTCCATGTTAACTTTCATGATGATCCTAGAAACTGGACCAGATAGGAGCTTGCTATAAATTGACCTAGCTGTCTAAGAGCACAAGGGCAGGGACAGAGGGTCACCTCAAGTCATGGGATATTAATCTTTACGTTTGACTCTTACATTGTGGGCTGAGAATCAGAACCAGGGCTTTGCACATGGTGGGCAAGTCCTCTGGCACTGAGGTACATCCCCAGCTTTGGATGGAAAATTCGAAGGAAATAAAATACGTAGATAAAGAAGTATTTCTTTGCTAATTAGGATGCACTTAGCTTCACTAGCCACCAGTAATTAAAGTTTAATAGTGTATATCCAGAGCCTTTGAAATGTGTTAGGAGAGATGAAAAGGAAAGAAACAGGCATGTCAATACACAGAGGACTGCAGGTCTTTTGGTTTGAGAGAAAGGAGCAGGATAGTGGTGAGGTAGCAAGGAAAGTTCTGGAACATTCACTGGCTGAGGCAAGTAAGAGTAAGGCTGTCATAACTTCAGACATGAGAAGATTTGGGACCAAGACTCTGGAAGAACAAGTTTTGGAAGTGAGTAAGATGAATTGTCAGCTGACGGCTGCTGCGGAAGGGAAAGCACTTTCTTTGGGGTTGTGATCTTCGGGAGGTTGGGCAAGAAACAGTGGAAAGTCCCACATCTATGTGCAACACTAATTACCAATTGGACTTAGTAGATTACACATAACACTGGGAACGAAGTGTGTTGGGAGGGCCTGGGGGGCAGGGGTATGAACATTTCAAACCACGAAAACATTGAAACAACTAAAATAATATTACATATGCATAAACAATAAATACATATTTATATGAGAAAAGGATGGAACGGTAAAACATTTCATATGACTTTTCTTATCCGTCCAGGACTGAGGAAATTTAGGATTTAGGTTGATCACAGTCTCTGCTGCTTGCTCTGTCTCTCAACCTGCCCATTTCCTGCGCTCTCCCTGTTGGTGGACACGATACGCCTCTTTCTTTGTCTTTGATGTACAGCTGTCATGGTACCTAGCTCCTTGTGCATGTGTTTAGATGTAGCTGAGACATAGTAATGTAGGATATGAAGCTTGGGAGACAAAAGTCAGTTATCAGTGAGCAACTGATGGGGCTCAAGTGGTTTCAGACCCCCAAACCTCAAATACTGTAAACTAGAATCCCAAATTTCAGGTTGTGGTAATCAGGTGAAGAAAAATCTAACTCTGGTACTCTAGACATCCACAGTGGAGCTCTAGGGTTCAGGTCAGTAGAATTCAAAATACAGCTGAAGCGCCAACTGGCAAGCCCGAGCTGGTTCCAGCAGGTCTGGTCTTTCAGACATCACTACGGCTTTTAGGAGAAAGTGTCTATGGAATTGAATTCTGCATTAAGAAAGAACAATACCAAGTGAAGAAGGAACTCTATGTAGATTGTGCTTCTCTGAAACACTAGAAAAGCTAAAAAAAAAATCACAGGCGGAATAGATGGGTCATAAAAGAACCTTAAATGCTTCAAATCAGAGATATCCAAAACCTAGCACAGTCCTGCCATTGCCTGGTCATGGAGAAGAGTTAATCCAAGAGCCCTATGTGATTGGTCTTCTATATGTGTTTACAGAGAGTTAATTTTGTCAGTGCATGGTAGCACGTATCTCCTATATCCTTGTCCTTAAAGCCTTATGCATCTGGATAACTTATTAATAAGATTCACATGTTTCTTAACAATACCTGTAAAGTGATACAGTATTACAAATAAATGAATTTCCAAAACTAGGCATCCAGGAGTGAAGAGAGGCCTACCTGGGTAAGTGGGCCTGAATAAGATCATTCAAGGGAACTTGATTTTGGGTCCTAATAATTTTGAAAGTTGTTCTGATGATATACACCTCTGTACTGGGAAGGAATTTTTATGAATCAGAATGAGGGGAGCACAGAGAGATACCACAGTACAAAGGAATGTGGTTTACAAAAGAATTCTTTTGTAAGGACACCAGTTGACTAAAGGATGCCAAATTCTAAATATTAACATTGGAAGTTTATTGCTAAGGCTTGGTGCTTGTTTTATGTTGTTTTTCCAAATATTTTTATTTTTTGTTTGACAGCCAGGTTCATCTTTGTGTCTGTCTGTTTATGTAATCTATTAGTCTATCTTAATCATATGCACCACACTCTCTTCTCACCCTCTCCCCCTGGATTGCCTATAACATATCTCCTAACCCCCCCTCAACTTCATGTCCCCTCTTCCTTCTCCCCTCTTACTAACTGAGTCTGATGAGTGTGGCCCATGTAAACAAGAGTATGGGACCATCCATGGACACATGGACAACTTTTCCTGGGGCATACCTCCAATGAAGATTTGCTTTTCTTAGCTTCCAATACCCCGTCGGCTAGAATCAGGGATGTCAAAGCCTCCACCCACTTGCAATTTAAGGCTTCAAGGCAAAAGTTGTATAATTTGCTGCAAACTATCTTGAGGGCGACTTAAAGTCTCATGAAAGGCATTGTGAAAAAATGGATTGGATAATGTCATGAAAATATGTTACTCTAAATAGGAATTGTGCCAACCTATCTATATGCAATGAATAGCAAATATCAATTGTGTGAAGGCAGAGTTTTAAAAATCTCAACTCAGAGGAAAGAATTTTGCCTTAAATGGGAAACATCCCATCAAATGGACAGTTCTTAGCATAGCTACTTATATAGTATTTCTTTTAGAAGGCGCAATTAAAATCACATTTGTTTTGGAACAGTACATTAGAATTGTTGCTATGCAGATGGTTTTTAAATTACCAGTTGAAAGTCAGGCAGGGAGTGAAAGCAGTCTTGGTATTTTGTTTGACTTTGTGGAGTAAGGGGGTAAACGTGACCATCTGAGTCTCTATATTTGATAAGATTGAAGGTATGCCACACTTGGTTGGAAATAGAGTGCTGGTTCTTCTCAGTGTGGCCAAAGCATCCTTGGATGAACTCTTGCTACATAAACATGAGGAAGTGCAGTGTTTGCTAGAGGATTTGGGGATGTCAGGGCATTGGTCCTGTAACTGTCACTCGGAGTATTGCCTGGTGCCTTCATCAGTACTGTGTTATAACAGTGCTTGAAGAAGGACATAGAAAACATCCCAAGACATTAGTGTTTAGGCATGTTAACAAAGATTATAGCTGTCAGTGACAAACTCAGCCCTCATTTCCCCAGCCGTGTGAATGAGACTGTCACTCTTTGGACATGGATATTAAACACATCAAACTTAGTCAGTGCTCCACTGCTACCGTGTTACTGCGTCATCGAAATTATGATCCAGAGGAGTTGAACCTTATGCACAAGGTTAGGAAATACACTTATGACTCTAGAGGAGGCTACATTTAAATCTGATTTAGGATTAACTACTTTCACCAAATATACAGAGACATGCAGATAATGTGACCCAAAGGACCATGACTTCCATCATTCATATTACAGACAATAGACAGAGTTCCATCAAGAGACTGCTATGAGCAGTGGATTTGCTAAATTTTAACCTTGCTGGAGATGGTACTGAGACATACTGCATGCTACTGATCAGCGTTCTAGAACTCAGACAGCTTGTCTTAGATAAGTCCTCATGGTCTCAAACCTTCTTTCCATCTTGAATCTCTATATGTACCTTTCAATGTACTGTGTCTAGAGGACATGCTTATTGCACTACTGCACAGACAGAAGAACTGGTTAAAACAGGATAAGTGTCTGTGTGATCTGATTAAATTCAGCTGATGTTACCCCAAATTGTCTAGAATAACATTATCAAAGATGTCAGATCACCTAAAAGTGGGGTGACAGTGGGCTCAGGTACATGTCTAGACACCTCTGATGATGTCTTACCCTTCATTTTCAGACCTGCCTCCCACTCTATACCCCATAAGGATAAAAGATTGCATCATATTATTATTTTTTTTTATATTACCAGCTCACAATCCAGTGATATCAGTGTTTGTTACAGTAACTGAATATTCCTTTGGAGAATAAAACCCCATTGAAAAATAAAAACGAAGTGGCATTAGAAGGAATGTATAGGATAGATGAGTCGTGCAGACAGGAAACACTGCAGATGTTCAGCGGTATTGGTCACAGACGTGGAAGAAGTTTCCAGAATGGGTAAGGGTATAATGTGCATAGAGGATAAAGGAGAACTGTGAGAGCAGATAGGAACTAACACGTGTAAAATCATTTCAGGCAGGAAGGAAAAGCACAGAGAAACACACACACATGTCTCCTCCTCACCAGTTAGATGAGAAGTTCACACACAAGGGATGACTTTTCTATAGTGCTTGAAAAATGATATTTGTAAAAAAGATATCTTAGAAGGTAAAGAATATTTTTTTGAAGTCCTTCATGGGAATTGATATTGAAAAAAAGGGAGCATTTTTCAATGGAAGATTTTAATTGAAGGTGGTAATGAAACTGTAGGTGAACTGGAAAACTAGTGTGTAGGGCCGTGCTTGCCAAGGTACAACTTGGCAAACTGTATGTGTAGGTACTGTGAGTGCAGTGACCCAGTTCTGAACAGTCAGGAGGATTTTTCCCCCCAGTGCACAGGCATCTGGGGCTCACTGTGAGCTGATTCTCTTTCTTAGTATGTCATCAAAAGCAGATTGGAGTAAAATTAGTTAAATCCAATCAGGCATATATATACAACAGGTTTTCACCAGTCCTTGTCTGTTTTTCAAGCAGCAAACGTGAAGGAAGACTGAGGACCTGTATATTTAATAACTCTAAGGTTCTAGGCTTCTTTAGGATCATTATTAGTAAGCTTATATCATATAATTTATGAAATGTAAGTAAAAATATGCTGGTATTTCCAACTGCTTACTTACTAGTTTGATGAAATTTGGACTTTTGGTTTGAAAATTAAAAATATAGTATTGCTTATGTCTTATTCTATATACTGAAAATAAATCTACATGGACAGATGGCTAGTGGTTAAGTACACTTACTGCTCTTGCAGAAGACCTGGATCTCCATTTTAGCATCTATGCTGGGCCACTTACAGTCTCCCAAAACTACAGTTCCAAGAGAATCTGGTGACTTTTTACCTCCGACGACAAGTCCTCACACATGTTGCACATGAAGTCACACAACTGCGCACACAATAAATGAATAAATAGATATATACATAGATAAAATTTCAAAGCTTGTAAGTTTTTTATCTAGAAAACCTTAGTGTTTTTTTAAAAGCAATATTGAAGAACAGCTTTTCTTTTTCTATTTGAGATTATAATATAATTACAACATTTCCACGTTCCCTTTCCTCCCCCCAAATCCTCCCATTTGCTCATCCCCAATCTCCTTCAGATCCATGGCAGGATTCTACTCCAAAATGGTTTTGTGATTCTGTTTACATGTGTTACTTTTGAGAGAAGTCTGTTTATAATCCGGGATTTTTTTTCCACCAATAAATTCTGACCATACATTTTTTACAAGTTTGCATAACTATTAGAATCTTCATTTTTGAATGTTAATAAATGGATATAAGTGGAATATCCAAGGAGGTAAACCTATATTTTTTCCATCGGCAGCCTTTTATGAAAGAGAATTGCAAGGCCTTCTGAGGAATATGGTGATGTTACATGGGGATCAATGACACACAATGTGCTAATCCCTTGCTGAATCTACAGATATGGGCTGTCAATTGATGCTACCATGAACGGGAACCCTTGAGGACATCTTAGATTTTCTAGCAGGAGGAATGTGAGTCATGAGGGCTAGAAGATGGACTACAGCAGTCTTGCCTCCCATGGCAGTTGCGACCTATGGTTATGCCTGTGGTTGTTGTTCAACACGACAGAAGAGCTTCACTCCTGTAAGCAAAGCTGGCTTCCATATTAGAATACAATCCTAGATTATCTGCATAGAATGATCATGTGAGACCCTAAAAGCAGCAGAGGGGGACAGAAGGGAAGTCAGAGATCCAGTGTGTGAGGACTTGCTGTGCTGGTTTTGACTGTGGCTGGATTCAGAACCCCAGCAAGTACAGGCAGCCTCCCTTAGTAAAAATAAGCACCCTTGAGCAGCTACCAGAGCGAGATTCAGTTTGCAGTCTCCAGGATATGGATTCTATCAACAATCTGAATAATTAAAAAGTGTTTCCTGGGGCCTCTCAGTGAGGGTGTCATGGTATGCCACTTTCTTAAACCCTCCCCAGGGGCTTCAGCTGAGCCCATCCCAGAATACTAAGAGAATTACAAGCGGATCAATAAATAGTGTTTGAAGGATAGTGGAGTAGAAACAGAGTGAGAGAAGCTTGCTTTCTCAGCCCACTTCTTGTGGAGGATAAGAACAGGTAATCCAAGAATTCAAACAGTCAATCACAGATCCTTCTAGCCGTAGTGCCAATATTATCAGCCTTTCATTTTGGCATCATATCATGTGACAGACACAACTTGCTGAAGAAATGAGCCTTTGACCCTTCTCATTGGCCCCTTCTCAAATTTTTCTTCCCTCTCCTTTTCTCAATGCTGTGTGGAAGGCAGAATGGACTGTTCATACTCTTGGTTCTTGTTAAAGGTACATCGACTTTCTATGATAACACAAGCACACTCAGCCATCCAGTCCTTCCTTCTTATGGCAGTGGAGACAACTGATCACTGCTATTGGCAGGCCCTCCTCTGCTTCCTTTGCCCCTTCTATGGCCTGGCTTTGGTGAGAGGTGGCCCAACTCTAGCAGGAGGCCGAGCGTCTCTAAGCTGTGGCTGACCTGTCTTTCTGACACTCATGTTTGCTTACACAGTAGATGCAAAAATGGGAATTGAATCTAGGAATGTGGCTTAGAACCAGAGTGTTTGCCCAATATCCATTTTGGAAGTTTATAATCCTGGGACTAACAGGATTCATCTTATACCTTTAAGGCCAAGGCATTTGAATGACTCCTCAACTCTTCCCTTTCTGTCTTTCTAGCAGCTCTCTGAACGTTAGGTGTCTCTATAGACCCATTTTTAAAATTTATTACTCCTAGCTAAATTACATCTGAGATGACCATTTTCATCAAAAGTGTGAGTTAAGTCACCAACAACTCAGCTTATTTCTTCATTTTATTCCATTTTTGTGGACTTATGGGAAATAGTCTATCTTTGGAGAAAATGAATCTTCTTTTTAGTTTTATTAAAAATTGAATCTCAGGGAAAAACCACATAGAGATGCTAATATTTCCAGACCATAGGTTTTAAAGCACATAAATGTTAGTGGCTGGTCTGGGGTTCATTTAATAGCTATGGGCATCAGTATGCTGAGAAAGTTCTACACCATAGCTGTAGCTGAATGACTTTCCCATTTCTCATAACTTGTTGGATAGCTAGACTAGATTTAAAAAAAAACAACAAAACAAAAACAAACAACAACAAAAACCCTAGAGCCCATGTGCTCAGACACATGACAAAAAAATTATTCTCATTTTACTTCTGGTTTCATAAAGCAAAAAAAGCGGATGCAATTGGAAATGGAAATTGAAACCAGTAAAGTTTACTCAGAACAACTCAGAAGCACAGGGATGGAGAGATGCCTCTGTGGTTAAGGGCGCTAGAGTTCAGCTCCCAGCACTCAAGTCACGTGGCTCACAACGATCTGTAATTCCCATTCCATGGGGATCTGATGCCTTCTTCTAGACTTTGTAGGTACACATACACACACACAAATAATAAATAAACCTTAAAAATAGGTCAGGAATAACAGATACAGAGAAAACAATTTGCACCATTTTGTATTTTTGTTTATTACTCCACATACCATTGTTCTCTGTTTTGTGTATAGGATTAGAGGATACTGTTAAGTAGAACAGTATTTAGGAAAACTTTGAGATTCAGAAAATATGAAGCTGAAGTTAGCTCTTGAGAACCAGTCTACAAACAAATTCTTTTTTTTTTTTGTTCATTAGGCAAGTTTGCAGATCTTTATCCAGTTTCTGTGTCATGTACAATTATTAGTCTATTCTAAGAATCTTGAAAATAATCCAGTAAGCATTGTGCAGGACTTTTGCTTGAGGTCCTATATACTTTTTTTTTTTTTAGAACCAGTCTGGGTTGGTGAATTCCTAAATCTCCTCATCTAGACAGGTGGGACTATTGTTTTTAGACATTGTCGGGACTGGGAGAGTTTCCTCTCATCATCTTGCTATCGAGTAATGTCTGGGAGAAAGACCTAGTCTAAAAAGCAGCTGTTGCTGGATGGGTATAAAGGCAGAGAGCTAAGGTAGGTAATAGGTCTTTTTGTGAAATGCTGGGATTATATTACAGAGAACCATTTGGGGAAGCAATATTTTATGTAGTCTTTATTAAACCCCCAAGTTACTGTGAAAATTCCCAGATAAGGAGTGTTTCATTTTTTGCCTCCTTGAACTAAATAACACATAGAGACAAACTTAAAATTAATTTTTTTATATTGAACCTTTCTGTAATATGATGAGTGATGAGTCTATTCAGGAGATCTTCCTTCCCTCCTCCCTCCCTCCCGTTCTCCAGCTTCATCTCACTTTCTATGTCTTTATTTCCCTCCCTACCCTTTTCTCTCACTCACTTCCATTTCTTCCAAGGTCTATCACCAGTAAAGGAGTCGGTGGTAGTTCAGAGTGCCCTCAAAATGTGAAGACAAATGGTCTGTGGATGCTCATTCGGGTCAACCCTCTTTATCTCCACATGAAGCTTTCCACAGTTTACATAAGCCACGCCCTCAGACCTCAGTGATAATAATCACACCCCTAGATCTTATTACTTATTTTTTTTTTTTGGTCCATCCTTGTCCCAAATCCTTCTGATTCTATGATTCAAAGTGAATTAAAAAAGAGTCTCTAGTTTTAGTGTTTGTGAGCTTGTCAAACCTCCGTTCCTGGACCTCACACTTGGACTCTTCACGGGTCAGGGATAGGTGGGATCAATGATCAGGATTCCTAACACCCTCCCAGTTCACTGCAAGGTTGTGACTCGAGCTGAACAATTTTTAGCAGTAGACAGCTACACCTGTGTCACTGGGCCACCGAAGCAGCTGGCCTGGCTCTGCGGGAATGCTCACAGCAGAGCTGGATCTGATGGGTCTTCAGGGTGGAGACCAGACTTAAGGAGAAGGGTGCCAACCATCCATAAAGGCCCAATAACAAAACCACCTCTCCTCTTTTACAGAAGCAAATCCAGAGAAATTCAATAGTCGTTTCCGAAATAAAATGTTCTATGCAGGGGTAAGTATTATTTCATTTTGCAGCTATTAATATTACTTAGTGGCCATTCACTAAATGCTAAAGAAAACTAGTGACATCAAAATTAGTAATGCACACCCCAGACACTTCCATCTATGTTTATCTATAGTCATTGTTTAAAAGCTTCACTAAGGAATTAAAGAGATGTTTTCTGAGTAGTCAGCAAGGCAGTTGGTGCTGGCTTTGTTTAAGATTTAAGCCCTGTAAGTGTCAATAACTTTTTATGGAGTGATGCAAAACAGATGTCCAAGAGGGAATTGGGGAGAATAGTTAGATGGAAAACACACACACACACACACACACACACACACACACTCTCACACGCACACGCGCGTGCATGTGCGCGCACAATGTTTGGGTTTAGTTTCTCTTTTCTGTGATAAAATACCCTAATGAATGCAACTTAAAGAAAAAGGGTTTCATTTGATTCACCATTCTGCCGTTTGGGGCAATTCAAGTGGCAGTTACTTCAAGTAGCTGGTAACAGCACATCCACAGTCAAGAGCAGAGGGCAAGAAATAAATGCACTTGTGCTACTGCTCACAGTGATTTCACTACTCCTTTACAATCCAGGATCCCCTGCCCAGGGAAAAGTGCCACCCACAGTGGAAAGGTCTTCCCACTAATCAAGATGCTCCACTCCTGCCCTCACGCCCCATGGCTGGCATCAGCACACAGGCCAACTTAATCTAGACAATCCCTGACTGGAGTCCCTTTCCCAGGTGATTGGAGACTGTTAAGTTGGTAACACCACCCACCATAGACAGTCTTAGCTCAGGCTGTGGTTTTCAGCAGAGTGTGTACCCAGTGATTTTGGATGAGCCTTTAATGGAAATACCTATGAGACCAAAGTAGGGACCTTTCTTTACTCTTCAGGGACATTGCTAAGAGTGATCTTAGCATTGGGTGGATAGGTAAAATGTTCACAAGGGGCCTTCAGAATAGATCTGCCAAGTGACTCTGGGAATCACACACTTTTTTACCTTCCTCCTATAATCTTAAATATTGTTATAGATTATAGTCTGAAAACAAAGGTTTTCACATGGCAGACACTGCCTTATTTTACCTGGAGCTCAACCAAAGGAGAATTGGTTATATATTTTTTCATAGTGCATAATCTTGGGACAATGTCTAGCAAGGATTTGGTGGAAACTATATAACAAAGAACTCTTTTCTTCTTTTCCTTGTGGTGTAGGCAGCCTTTTCTGATTTCCTACAAAGAAGTTCTAGAGATCTATCTAAACACGTCAAAGTTGTCGTGAGTACTGACTGTATAGGTTCATTTCATTTGCATGTGAACGGGTGTCACTCCCCCATCCCTGATGCCAGTTGATACATAGATTAATACATAGATACATAGATTGATCCCTGGGCTACGTAGAGTTTGTAAATCATGTAGTTCATTCAGCCGTGTACATGCATGCTCACCATGTGTCAGTCTCTGTCTTAGTTGCTGGAGTGAAATAAAGACTGGTTTTACTCCTCAGGAAATAATGTGCTGGGATTATAGTCCTGTACTAACAAGTCCTGCAAAATGTTTAAAAAACACAGAGCTATTTTTAAATAAAAATAAGAGAAGTGATCGTTGAAAAGAAAATAACTAAGGATTGTAGTAGAATAATATTTTATGAGGCACTGGTAATGTTTACAATGTTGATAAACCAGTGCATACAGTACTAATATAATTGAAATGACTTCCTTGCTCTTACAGGATGAAAGGTTCATTTTAAAAATGTCACCGGTATTTAGAAGGCTGAGCTGGAAGGGATGTAAATTCAAGCCCACCAGCTGGACTGGACAGCTTGGTGAAAACCTTTCTCAAAGGAAGGGAGGAAGGGAAAATTATAGAAATCTGATAGGCAAACATTTGCAAAGCTGCTGTTGCCATTGTATCAGCATTAATTTGTGCCATGCTTTGAATCTGTTACTGATTCTTCCTGTAGAGTTTCTGTGTCTTTTCATTGTAGCTATATAAGTACTTAGAACATTGTACGATTTCAGTAACTTATCACAAAATGACAAAATATGTGACCTGTAGAAAAATGTGCATGAAAAATGATCCCCTTAAATCAACTGGGACAAGAACTGAGTAATGCTGATATTAGCGAACCTTGCCATCCCTCCATGGCATTTCGACTCACATACAATGCCATGTTGTTTCTGGCTCTGCCATTAGGCACAGCATTATGGTAGAAGGGATACCACTGCACACTTCATGGTGGCCAGGAAGGGAAGGTAGGAAGAAAAAGAAAAGGGAAAGAGAGAATGGGGGAAGAGGGGAAGAGGGGGAGAGAGAAAGAGAGAGAGAGAGAGAGAGAGAGAGAGAGAGAGAGAGAGAGAGAGAGAGAGAGAGAGGTTGACTGCTGAATGAATGACCAGCATAAGATCACCTTTCATGGCAACCCCTGACTGAGTGAACTAGTTCCTCCAAGTAGGCCCCACCTCCTACCATCTCATATAGGGTGACTTCACCAATGGAGTAGCACACTCATGATAGAGTCACACGGTTCCTCCAGCTTGGGACCAAGGCTTTAACACGTGAGCCTTTTTGAGAAACATTTTATACCCTAACTACATCAGGTGTATATAAAAGACTGTCTTGTCTTTGTCACAGGTAAAGTCAGTATCTTGAGTGTAATACACAAGACACATGGCTGCATATGAATTCTAAACCAAGAAAACACACAGCACTAAGAAAATACTGCATGTAACACAATCTACTGCCCATTGTTGGATTTACCAACAGTTAAGCATAGATACAGAACTGTATTTAGCATGCAGATTGTTTTGTCTTATGTGTGTTTGAATTAGAGAAAACAATAATATGTAAAAAATGCTATTGTATACATCTTTGAAAATTTTGATGATCTCCCTGGAAGAAAGTCTAGCACATTTAAAAATGAATTTGTTTCCAAGTTCAGTAATATTTACTATAGTATGTTTCTATAATGTATCAACAAAGTTTAGCATCCTATTTTTTTGGTTCTAAATTTTCTTACAACCAAATTACTCTATGATTTCTTCATGTGCATAGTCATCTGTGGATCTGCTTGAAGCCCTCAAATGATTTGGAAGATTTTAGGTTGTTGGAAGTATACTCTAAAATATATTTGGTCATTATATAGAACCTTATTTCTACCTAAGTTACTTTTGGGAAATATTTTATTTATAACTGTATGATTTCCTAGGAATCATTTTTGAGACCATTTATGAACATTGGGGTATAGTCAGATCGATTGGGTAAAGAGTGTGGTGCTTTGAAGCAACTATTGAGTGCTTGCAAAATCATTTGCTTAGACTGAAACACTACTGAAAGAAGTCTTTACAAAATCATAGTGAGTTTTGGAATACTGTACTCTTCTTTCCAAAAGAGAAGAAGCTGATGGAATTCTGAGATGTGGGGGTTGAGAGAGGAGAAAGCGAACTAACAAGCCAGCTTTGTACCATGGCACTATGTCGTTGACCCTGATTGGCCTCCTCTTGTGTACATTACCAGTAGAAATAGAGAAAGATGGATGGAGGGCTTTTGTTTGACTGTCTGCAGGACAATACTCATGGGGGAAAACTAGGTGATCAAGGAACCTATGTACAAGGCTTCTAAGGCGAAATGATCAAGGAGCCCTGAGACCAAGGTCAAGTTCAAACCCCAACAGTCTAATTTCAAAAGTGCCATCTAGTTCTGTAAGAGATTATATTTGTAACACACAGTCATTTGACAGTATTTTGTCTTCTTGGTCTAATGTTAACACACACTCCCATGTATATGTGAGCTTATGAACTATTGCATCAAAAACACTGGCTTCACGCTGTGGTGAACAAAACAAGATCCATTACAAGTGATTCAAATTTAGTACAGATTCCTTAAGAAACGTTCAGATAATGTATTCAAAACAAGTTTCTCAGCTTCAAAGTAAATATTGTCTCAGACAGGAAAGAAAACCAATGACCACATTCGTGCTATGTTGGATCAATTGATGATGGTAGGGAATCCTGCTGGCTTCACTCAAGACTTCATCTTTGAAGTATGTGTAGTCTTTAAACATTAGCTCCATGTATGTCTAAATATCAAATAGTACAAGGCAATGAATGATAATACCTACCTTAAATATTAGAGCAGAGAAAATTTGTTGTGGTCGAACAGAAGTGAAGTTAAGCCCTGGCTCTCCTCCAGTCAGGTCCACCATAAATTTCTATCCTAGTAGCTGGCATTCACTCAGGGGCAAGGGCAAAGAATTCCATGTTCTATGCTGTTGTCGACCTAGTTATCTTGGATGAGACTCTCAGACTCATGACTACTTCAGAAGCCTCGCTTTCTCTGCTTTGGTTGCTGCAGTGTGATGGGACAGACCTCACCCCAAAGATCCAGGACCTGAAGTTCCAGTGTATAGTCTTTTTAAATATTCCCAGGTAAGCTCTATGCATGCTGTTGACTTTGTGCGGTGTGACCCCTGACTAACATCTGACTGCAGAAGTGAATCGTCTCGGGTATAACCCGTGGAATCCCTTATTTCAGTGTAGTGTTAAAGGTCACTCATTTTCTTCTCCTGATCGGCTTGCTCACTGTGGCAGGCTGTTTTGCCTGGGATGTAGAATTCATTATCTATATTCTCCTATCCTTGAGAGACTCAGGCTGTTTTCTCAAACATTTTCATTTACTTCTCATTACTGCCCTATACCCACCTCACAGCCTCAAGGGAAGCAGATGTGAATAGAGTCCTTTCAGTGTCTCAGACGCTGTTAGGAACACATTCAGCCTGATGAGTATGGGTTTCTCTGCCAGATGCTAGAATTCATTGGAGAGGCATGGTGTAGATAGAGTTTCAATGCTTTTTGGAACAATTATACACACGAAGAAAGGAATACTTAGGACTATTTTTTTTTTTTTAAATAAGCATATCACCTCAGTGACATAAAGTTGGATTGCAGGTTCCCAAGCCAATGCATTGGAAGACACAGGCCTTATCTCCTCATTACTTGCCACTACCTAACTCAGACAAATAAGCTGACCTTGGGTGGATTTAAGGAAAATGAGAGATCTATGGAAATTTATGTCTGGGGAAACCTATCAAGGTCTTCAGTTGCTCTTGGAAGTCCTCAGTATACTAAAGTTTAAGTGTGTTTCAGGGCATGGGTCAGCATGGCTTTAGTAGACGGCCTACAGATGTGCAGAACACTGGCTGGGACTGTTTTTCTCTTTAGTCCTGTCCCTCTTCCCATATGTGTCTGCTTCTCCAATTTTATAGTTTTGTTTATTTCTTTCCCTTTCTCATCTCACTCCTCATACCTCCCCTTCCACCCAGTTTTCTTCCCTCCCTCTAGTCCTTCCTTCCTTTCTTTCTTTCCTTTCTAAGTTCTACCTTAGCCCCTTGTGTACTGGGAGAGCAGGCATATACCACCATGCCTAGCATATTTTATTTCTTATCTTTTATTTATTTCTTTGAAGAAATTTTCATTAATTTTTCCCCTGTGAGAATTTCTTGTCTTACTTTATGTTGTGATAAATGCTGCCATCTTCGTTCATCTCCTCTCTTACACTAGCATGAATTTCTCTTTAAGAGAATTATGAAGTTATTAGAGATAATTCATAATATGTTGTAGACAACATCAACCCCAGAGTGAGGAATGATGGGATGCCATAATATGCTTTTCTTGTTAAATTGTGGCTTTTTTTGCAAGCCTATGATATTCTAGAGATAATAACATTATTTTTTCACACTTGAAGGTATACATCAAGAGCAACAACTGTCCTTACATTTGAAAAAGCGTCAAGTCCCACTAGAAATTATTTTCAAAAGTTTACTTATAAATTGACACGTAGAAGCATAACACCGCCCCCCCCCCCCCGTGTAGTCATGAGTGTACCATGCAAGACCTTAGTGCATGTATGCACTAACCCTAAGTTAATTCCCAGCACTAATCAGGAGTAGAATGAAGCAGCCTTAACTGTTTTCGACCTTGTTTGCAGATATTGTGCTGGCACAATGCCCTGGGGAAACCCCGGAGATCATCATGACTTTGAGCCTCAGCGTCATGACGACGGCTACATTGAAGTCATTGGATTCACTATGGCCTCTTTGGTGAGCAATATCTCAATGTTACTGAAAACTCTTGTGTCTAAGCCACAAATGGACGTTAAATGCTAACAAGGCAAAAATTAGTTTCCTCCAACAAAGTCTGACTTAGTGTAGAGACCACACTTAAGGGCAGGCCCCATGCCCAGCAGTAGATGGCCAACATACAATAAACTCAGTGGCCCTTTTGCAGAATTTTTGTTTCATAATGCTTTGTCTGGGCATTTTCTTTTTTACCTTACAGATAAAATATTATATTTTATCTTATTTATCTTGAATATTATGCTTTCTGATTTTGTGTTTCTATGGGATTTCTCTGTGTGAACATGTGTGTCTCTGTGTGAATGTGTGTGTCTCTGTTTCTTTGTTTGTTTCTTGTGCATTTTCTTTGGCCTTGTTTTCCTGATTGTTTTGTCCTATTCTATTTATATTTTTAAATTTTTTATATTTTTAGATATCTGTTTCTTTTCAAATGAGACAGAGCAAGAAAGGGTATTTATTTGCACGGATGGGGAGGTGGGGGGGATCTGGGAGGAGTTGGGATCAGAGAAATTGTGATCAGAGTATGTTGTATGAAAAAAACTACTTTCAATAAAAAAGTTTTTTTCTCTTGGTTTACTAATTTATAACATCTACTTAGTACAGATTGGGTTAGGATAAACATGAATGTGTCGTTAAATTTGAAAACTTATTCATATTAATGTGAACTTCAAAAGTAAATAAATTTCATTTGATTGTTTTACTTTCTAGGAAATAAAAACAGTTTATGTTTAGGAAGCCATCTTGGCACAGAGATAGTGCAGTATTAACACAAAACCACAGGAACTGATTGATGCTTTTCTTGCTTCGCTGAGGAAATGAATATTTAACAAAAAGCCTAGTTATTTATATTCAGTTTCATCTTGGTCACATAGCATGAGTTGAGTGTATGGATTGTCATGGAATATTTATAAATGGGAAAAGCGACCATATGACCACCTTAGAACTATTCAGTTGCTACAGTGTACACTTCATACTTTAATATTGTATATTAAAGACTGAGGGGGTGGGAGAGACGGCTCAGAGGTTAAGAGCATTGTCTTCTATTCCAGAGGTCCTGAGTTCAATTCCCAGCAACCACATGGTGGCTCACAACCATCTACAATGGGATCTGGTGCCCTCTTCTGGCATGCACGCAGAACACTGTATGCATAATAAATATATCTTTAAAACAAACAAACAAAAAAACAAAAAAACCCGTACAAACCCTAAATTTATAGTAAAAGTGCTTTTCAAACAATTTTCAACTTATTCAACTAGGGTTGACCAATTAAGAATTATAAAATCTACTTATTTTATGTTGTATTATATAAATTATTGTATAAACTCATAGTTTGTACAAATTGAAAGCCTCCATTGTAACTGGGCTGTGCTAGCCCCTATCCACAAAAGGTCAGAAAGTGTGTTTCTTCTTTGATAAACAGAAGCATATCTGTCTTAGTTTCTTTTTCTGTTGCTATGATAAACCTGACCAAAGAAACTCCAGGGAATATGTGTTTCAGCTCATTGTGCAGGGGTAAAGGCAGTCAGGAAGTAGGCGGCAGTAAATGCATGCTTCTCCTCGGCTTCTTTTTCTACTTATGCCCTCTGAAATCCGCATAAGAAGTCCGTGTGTACTTAAAAGTGGACAACTGAAAATGTGTGAGTGGAAGTCAGGGGATCTCCGTAGGTTAGAGAGATGACTTTGGAGGGTCTGTCAAATTCCCCCTCTGCCATCCTGTGGCTAGCTGGTGTGAGGAGGAGAGAAAATTAATATATAGGATTTGGTGAAGAGAGAATGGAATCTTAAAGTCATGACAACTATAATTTCCTCTTTGTACAACATGGATAGTACAAAGTCACATGGGACAGTGTGACAGTGTCAGATGTGTGATAGAATCTCCAATTCTAGTGACAGCAGTTACTTCCAGGGCAGAAAATCCTGCCTTAGAAAACCAGAGTTAACTCTGCTTTGCTGTTTAAATTAGTAGCTGTATACTTTTCAACATTACGTGCTCTCTAAATAACCCTTGCAAAATATTTCTAAATACTCACTGCAATTTTTTGTTATTATGGCCGGGAAGGGCCTTTCATGTTGAGTCTGTTTCTAAGTAATTTAAAACTTTTCAGCTCATCCAGTGGTAAAATATTGGTTTTATTTTTCATTGGGTATGAAAGAATTTTTGTTTAGTCCTTCAGTTTTCAATTCACCGAGGATATTCTATTGATTATATTTCCAAGAAGGTAAATTATATAAAATTATAAGCATGTGCTTGAGATGAGAGTCTAAACAGAATGGTAGAAGTACTTAAAATTGCTCTTTTTAAATATATACTTAAAATGGCATCCATATAATTTAAAACCTTTAACTACTAGGTCAAGCTTTTTTGCAGCTAATTATTTTTTTTTCTTAGAAATTGACATGTCTGAAATCATTAAAGGCTACCTATTTTTAAGGTTATGCAATAAACTTATAAATATTTTTGTACTTTGCTTATAATTTAAGAACACCCAAAGAAGAAGAAGCTCAGACTGATTCTTGAAAACAGATTTTTAAATTGAATTACTGGAATGGGGGGGGAATCCTATTTCCTTTAGACTGTTTATCTTGTAATTGCAAACTTCAAAGAGAAGTCTTCAATTGACTCTTTTGGTTGTGATGCATTCCTGCTAATTAAGATGCTGTCTCATTGGGTACGGAGTATCCTGATTGCCTTCTTGGGTTTTATGGAGCCCATAATCAGGCATTGTAACTTGTATTTGTTTCTGCTACAATTTTTCGTTATTATGGCCGGGAAGGGCCTTTCATGTTGAGTCTGTTTCTAAGTAATTTAAAACTTTTCAAGACAGTTCAAAGAGTGATTCACATGGAGGAAGTGGGACCCTCATTTGCAATTCAGGCTCCTCAGCTTTGAAGAAAGCACATTGATCTCTCTGTTAATTGAAATTAAAATGTGTAAGTTCTTTTACATTTCTGGATGAGGAAGGCATAGGAACTGGCTGGTCAGTCTGGGGGAGGGGAGGAATAAAGCGCAGAGAGATTCCCAGGGCTGAGGTTTTATACTTCTGCATAATGTGATCTCTTTTGCTTTTTAGAAAATGAAGTGCTAATTTTAAAACACACACGTAAAAGTAAGAACTGAAGTGTAAGTTGCAGATCTCACCAGAACGCCTACTCAGAGCTACTCAAATTCTGATTTCTGATGGCTTTCCTTCCAGTGACTTTGTTTTTATGTTTGAAAACACATATAAAATTTAAAAAGTGATTTTATAATTTTTACTGAGTTTTTTTCTTATCTCATTGAATTGATACCTTCTTTCCCAGGGCTTGTCATAACAAAGCAACAGGAAATTCACAGTTTCACACACAATTACAGTCAGTATGGCAGCAGGCAATGTTCTCCATACCAAGATGGCTTTCTTTGCATTCAGTCAGTATCGCAGGAGCATCATCCTACAAATGGCAACCTGTGCTTCATTATATAAGCATATCACAATTTAAATAATAACCAATCCTTTAATGAAGCTTTCATGTTTCTGATGTTTGGTGTCACGAATAACTCCGATTAATGTTGTGTGTAAACTCTGTGAGTTCAAGTTGTTCTGACAGATCTCCAGACAAGAGAGTATTGATTAAATGTCATAAATGTTTTTAGAACTCTTAGTAAGAATTATAAAACTACTTTCTTTAATATTTACAGACACAATACTAATAGGAAGAGTAGCGAGAACTGATTAAGGTTTAAAACTGCACAACTAAGAAGAGGGTAATGGGACTACAATAAATGCATAAAGGAATTAGGTGTGTCTTGTGAGGTTGAACTTGGCAACAAAGGGTTAACAGCTCACTAAACAACACAAATGACAGTAGGAATAGCATATTGTTATTATTACATTTTGTCTTTTGAAAACTCCATATCTGTGCATATGCTGATGACTGTCTCACCTTTTATTATTGAGTTTTAAGAGAAATAGAGGAGGAGTGGATCTCAGAAGAGGGAAGATGTGAGAGGGGGCAGGCAGGAGTGGAGGGAGGGAAACATATGAGAGAAGAATAAATAGAAAGGTACTCTAAATATACATCTTTTGGTACATGCATTTATTGCAGATATAACCTGTCTGCTTTATGTGTGTGTATATTTTACATTTCTCTTTTAACAAACATGCATTTTCAACATTATTGTATTTATTTATAATTTAATCTTTGAGAATTTTATACATAAATACCCTTGTAAATGCATAATTTTCACTACTCTGTACCCCTTTCAACATTACCTCTTCCATCCTCTACTTTCTCTAGGATTCATCTTAAATATGTTTATGACCTCTTGTTTCATGAAGTCGGCTTAATTTCTGTTAGGGCTGCACACATGCAAGTATATAGACAGCCCTGTGCCCACACACACCCTAAAAATCTTAACTAACTCCAAGTTTGACTGGGAAGGCATTCTCTTTTCTTGTCTCCTTGATGATTTATTTTTGCGGTAAATATCCAACCCAAGTATGACTGGTCAAGGAAAACACAACTCAATCATTATGAATATATTCTGCACGCCTAGATTGGGCAGATTCACCACTACACTACTCTATTCCCCAGCTAAGAGACCCTTATAACTTGAGGGTTTTCCAAGTCCCGAATTTGTCCTTTCACCTCCTGCTCCTCTGTCATCTTCTCCTCCGTCATCATCCTCCCCCAGTGTCTTCCTCCTCCATCGTCCTTTCTCTCTTTCTCTCTCTGTCTCCCTGTCTCTCTCTGTGTCTCTCTCTGTGTCTCTCTCTCTCTGTCTCTCTGTCTCTCTCTCTCTCTCTGTCTCTCTCTCTCTCTCTCTCTCTCTCTGTCTCTCTCTCCCCACCAACCTTTATTTCTCCACCTCCCCTACTCTGCTCAGTCACTGGCTCTAGCCTTTATTTTACAAATTAAGGTGGGCAGAAGGTTCACTAGAAATCACCCGTGTACTGATTCACTCCTCCTCTGCAGCCCCTCCCAG